TGGGTTAGAGGGAAAGACAATTGCTCTGCATACAGATTAGCAAACTGAAGATGCACAAGGCTCTGTCAAACACAAAACCGAAGCACCACCCCACCCTTCTCAGCTCCCAGCCTGTATTATTGGGCCAGATATCAACCATCCAACATTGCAGTTGAGACACTTCCCATGCTAGACAGATACCCAGTCTCAGTGTCTTGTGTACTCAGCATCCCTGTGCTTCAAAATGGTGCTGAGGATGCTTTAACTAAAAGGACTGGGGATCCAAGCAGTGACTGGAGAGAAATGGGGGTTGCTCCTTCCAAAAACATCAGAGACCAACCAAATTCCTTAAGCTGCTTTCATTGTGCTCTTTTCTACACAGTGGTTTGGAGGCCCATGGCCAAAATACTGGCTGAGAAGCAGGATATGGGGGTTCAAGTCCCAGCTCTGTCACTTAGACCTGGTTCCATCACCTTTGCTCGAGTAGTTAGCAGCTTACTTCACGAGGGGAAGGATCAGTGAGAGAGCAGGCAGTGCCAGATGCTATGGGCAAGGCTGGCAGAAACTTCAGCTCATGGGAAAGTAGGGCTGAAAGGGACCTCACAAGGTTATCTCTTCCAGCCACCTGCTCAAGGCAGGATTGTCCCTGACTAAACCATCCCAGCTAAGTATCTGTTCAACTTGCTCTTGATAACTTCCAGGGATGAGCACACTGTTGACTCCTAGTTAGCTCACGGTCCACTGTAACCCCCAGGTCCTTCTCTGCAGTACTGCAGCCTATCAATCATTTCCCAGTCTGTATTTGTGCATGCAATTTTTCCATCCCAAGTGCAGGATTTTGCACGTGTCCTTGTTGCATCTTATCTGATTGATCTTGGCCCTTGCTGTGCCTCCGTTACCCCACCCGTGAGACTGGGGTAACATAACTCCCCCACCTCAAAGGGTTAATTCGTTGATGTGTATGCATTGCTTTGAGATCTCAAAGTATAAATGCACAAACTAGATGCTCTGCAGAAAGGTACAGTGCGAACTTAGCTTAGCAAATATTGCATGGTAGCTCCTGCAAGGAAAGAAAGCAGGATACATGACCTTGCATTTACCACAGGGTAGGAGTGTACACACAGGTAGTTAGTGCAGAATAAGTAATATGCAGCGAGCTCACACTCTATTATGTTAGCCGGCAGTAACTAGCCGACCTGCCCAAAATCTCAGATGAGCACTAGTAGAATACGTCTACAACACTCCCACCCAAGGACTATATTCTTTTCTCCTTGCCACTGCTCTGAACACATCAAACCTAGAAATGAGATGGTGAAACTGTCCTGAGGGTTGTCCCCATCACTGCTCCTGAGCACATCAGAAGCTGAGACCTTGGGAGCGGTAGTGAGGAGCGCCCTCATTTCTAGGCTTGGCCCATGTGAAGGGAGCAGGTGGACTGGGTAGGCTTAAAGATGGCATCATCAGGAGTGCTGGGGAAGTGGTGTAAACATAGCCCAAACAAGCAAAGGAAAACCATTGCAAGCGTAACCTCTTCCCTTTTATCATCACTATTAGTGAGTGGAGATACTTCCGCTAAATCATGACCGTGCTGCAAAACACACAGTGGTAAACAGTGTGTGGGTACTTCTCTGCTGGAGTCATTCTGTAGACAGTCACGTTCCCCATTTGATGACATGCAGTAGACGAGGTCTCTTTCTGCAAACAGATGGCCCACGGACAGAGTCAAACAATGGAGCTGTTAGATACCCTGCGTGGCTCTTGTCAGCTGTTCTGGCACTCCCAACTGTGGGTACAGGAGCTGGAAAACTTGTCCCAGGACTTGAAGAAGCCACATTTTTCTCTTGTTCCCCTCCCAGCCGCTTTTGCGCACAAGACCACAGCAAATAAGAAACCCTCATTTCTTCCTCAGCCCTGCTTCTGGCCGACACACATGGTCACAGTCCAAGGAGAGGGTGAGGAGAAAGGAAAAATGTGACACTCCCCCAATTTTTTTGGGTGCGGGGGGGGTGGCAACAAAAAGTAATTCAACTACCATGTTTTAGTGCCTTGGCATCATTTCTTCAGGAACGTGAACTTGTTTTGTCGGCTTAGTGTGGGTTCTGGCTGGCGGACAGGGAAAACATCCTGACGCTGGAAACCCTCCCAGTGAACAAAGCAGCAGCAAATATGTCGCTCTGGCTGGAAGATGGGGTCGGTGGATCTCAGCTGTCTTTCTGTGACTCACTGTTTCATACAGCCCCATAGATCTTCCCCCAACACCGCCCTTCATGTCACAAAACAGCTCGATATAGTTATATTGAACTAAGATCCTACAGCCACACCAGCCATGGTATAATATTCCACTGAAAACACTGACCAGCTTCTTATGGACTTGGTGGTCCATGGACCAGAGAACATCCTCCATCTCCGCTCCCCACTTATGAGTGAGAGACCATCATTTTGCCGCTCATCTCCTTTTTGGGTGAGAGATGCATTTATTGTGAGGCCTAGACACTCCACTTCAACACTACCAGGTCTCACACACCATCCCTCCGTAACACAGACAAAAGGCTGGTCACAGTGATAGCTCTAGTCAATGGGACTCGCTATGGTCCAGTACATTGCTTCTGCTCCTCTCTTCAACAGCCCAAAGAGTGCACTATGCTACTGAACAAGGCTGAATTGTTAGGGCTGTCCTCGGTTTATTATTTCACATGGCTGCTGCTTGACACTGGAGAGCACTGGTCAAGAAAAATCAAAGCACTCAAGTTATATTATCATCTAAGGTGGAGACTGCCAAGCTCCAGTCAATGCTTGCTGAAGTTGTCAAGGCATCTTTCTCCTGACTTCAACTGACTTTGGAGCAGGCCTGTGGAAAAAAGACACAACTAGGTGGGCTTGTACTAAGAGCGTAGCACTAAGCCTTCCTAAAGAGACCTTATTTTTTTGTCTGAACATGGTGGCACAATAAATGCCCCAAACAGGGGCAGACCATCAGCTGGTGACAGACTGTCACAGTTCTGCTGACTTCAAGGGACCCGTGACCATTTACAGCTGTCAAGAACCCGTCTCCTGCTCCAAAGTTTGGGGATCTGCCTCTCAAACTTATTCGCTTTGGCATTAGCTACAGAGCAGTTGGGACAAGGCAAACTAGGACCTCTAAGTTCACACAGGATGGCATCAATTTTGTTTGATAAGAGGCTTCACAAATCCCCTCCGGCAGTATTCTCACCCCTCCAAGTGCCGCTGACTGCCCGGTTCCTCAGTGACACACAGCAGCATCCGACACCTCTGATATTTGGGGCCTCAGGTGGGACAAACGTGGCTGTCTTCTGGCAGGCTATGCTCCCCTCCTCTACAAAACTTGGAAGCCAAGATCCACAAAACAGATTTGTTTGCTGAGATTTGAAAGAGCTGCATTGAATAAATATTCAACCAAACACACTTTTGTAGTCAAAGCCTGAGAATGCCCCTCCCAGGGAGCTGCAGACCTATATTCTCAGTGTCCTTGAAGTGCTAAAAGCCAGTTCAAATTTAATTCTTTGCCCTGAGGATCTCTAACGAGGCCTTGCTCTAGCCCACGGAGCTATACAAGTACAACTCTCCTCCATTTTATGGGTGGAAAAGCCGAGGCACGGAGAGATCACATAGTTGTCAAAGGCTGAACAGCCAGTCAACACCAGGCTTCTCCTGTCCTACTCACCAGGTATTGGTTTCTTCCCAAGGTCAGCCAGTCCTGATGGAGAAATGCACACACTACCCAGGCCTCCCACAGTGAAAAGCCACTACCTAGTACTGGTGGACAATACAGGAGGCAGCCTGAATTTAGTCTGTAAGATCTGGCTCCTCATACCTGGCTGAGATGTGGAGACATGGGGCCTTTCACCTCCAGGCCAGGTGGAGAGCTCCCCTCACCTCTCCTTCTTACAGCTTTGTGGGAATCCTGTACCTCCACTTGCCTTTCGAGGTGGGGGCTCTCCAGGGAAGAGACTCTGAAGTGGGAAGTGCTGGTGACTGCAGGGGATTTTCTGGAGCTCCTGGTTTCCTGTCACTAAACAGAACAGCAGGGTCTAATGGATGGGAAAAGTTCCCCAGCCAAAAGCATACTGCATGGAAGTCCCCCTTGCAAAGAGGAATAGGACCCAAGTATGAGTCTGTTCTCCACCACCAACCTCCTGGGTGTCCTTGGACAAGTCACATAGCCTCATTGTGCTTCAGTTCCCTGCAGGCATAACAGTACTTCCCTGCATTGAAGGGTGGGTTATGAGGATCAATGGTCGTTATGCTCTCAGGTGTCATGGTACTCAGGAGACTGTAGAAGTCCTTTAGCTACCTGTGCAAGGGTCTGTTCCAGGACAAGATCTTTCTGCTACATCCGTTCACTTGCTGTGCCCAGGGTCCAAAGCAGTGACATTAATACACATAATCACCCTACAACTGCTTAGCTCCAGTGATATTCTGCTCCACCTCTTGCTGCTGTTCAAGTCCAGCCAACCAAGCTCTCTCTCTCTCTGCACTCCTGACAGGTTAGGGCTAAAGCACCTTGTCCGGGCTACCTGGCAATGTCCCTGTTCTGTGCAGATGGAATTCACCCCTTCGCATAAGACATGACACTCAGGCCTTCAGCTTTTTGTTTGCACAGGGCTGGATGACATTGTTCTGCAGGGCTGTTGCCTGCAATCTCTCACAAGCTCCAATGTGCTGACTGCAATCCAGTGAAATAATGGTGTAGCTCTGATGGTCCAAGGAACGTGCAGAAAGGAAGATGAGGTGAGGTCATGTCTTCTCCTGGATCAACTTTATAGAAGGGAAAGATGTTAGACAAGCTTTGGGGCACAAAGTGCCCTTCCTGCTTCTTTTTCAGATCTGAGGAAGAGCATTTTGTGCTTGAAAGCTTGTCTGACATCTCTTCCAAGTACACAGCTGGTCCAGTACAAAATATGACTTGACACCGTGCAAATCCCCGAATGCAATAACAAGCACCGAGCCAATGGAGACAGCAAAAGCTCAGAGAAATGACAGACTTTTGTGTGTTGGCTCACCTGGGAATGCTGGTTAAATATGTCATCACATTCAGAAAGTCCTCGTCAGGTATCTCGCTGAACCCTGCGTACTCTGGGAAGGTGATGATGGGCGCCCCGTCCTTCCCTCTTCCTCCTGAAAATGAGAGATTGCCAAGAGGTCAAAAGGAGGTTTTATGCCATAGGAGCAGAGAACTGGCAAACACCTAACATGCCACGGAGCGTGGACACACTCCTCACCGAGATGCTGTCTGACCCAACAGATATGATACTAGACAGTGATGAAGGAGGCCTGGGATGCAATATTTACCCAGATTTACCTCCACTGAGAATCTGACTCTTGGGTTCTCTTCCCAAATCTACCACTGACTTGCTGTGTGATTTGAACCTGGTCGAGTCCTTTCCCTTTCTCAACTGTCCATTTGTGGTAACACTTTATTATGCCTTTGGGATCTGCCAATACCTGTGATCTGACCTGTGGGGACCAAGTGGTTTTGGGGCAGAGGCCAGGTCTCCCTATGTATGATACATCACTTCACACAAAGCAACCCTGATCCTCACTAGGCCTCCGAGCACGATGGAAATAGAAGTACTAAAGTTATGAATACTCATGAACAAGGAATAACACGACCCCAGGAGCAAGCTGCCCCTGAGGCTTTAGTTCACAAAAATACACCCAAAGAGGGGAGTTGTAGCTACACCGATGGACATTGCTATCTTGTTATCCTCTTATTATGCTAAATTGCTCTGTCATCCAGGCAAGAGAGCTCCATCCTACACACAGGACGAGCTCCACTCCCTACCGAGTTACATGAAGGTGCTTTGCTGGATTCTCACTGGCAACCTCGGCACCAAACCCCAGGCTTGGCCCTCTGCCAGGCTTTGAATGGAGAGGCAACCTGGGTGGCTAAGGCCTCTCTCAGGTTACCTGTTATGACAACAGCCAAAAGTCACTAAGTTTAAAAAGACATACAAAAAACTAGAACTCTTGGTTCCAAAATGATACCTTTTATTAGACCAACTGGAAAATGGCAGGAAAATTGTCCTTTTCTGCAAGCTTTGATCCCGAAAGCTTGCAGAAAAGGACAAATTTCCTGCCATTTTCCAGCTGGTCTAATAAAAGGTATCATTTTGGAACCAAGAGTTCTAGTTTTTTGTATGTCTTTTTGTCTCAGACCCACACGGCTACCAAGTACACCCCTGAAACTAAGTATAAAAGTAACTTGGCAACTAGGCACTTCAATAGCCTAGTGTCCACAATGCAAAAATCCCCAGTTTAACCCCCAAATCAGGTGTCCCCGTGATTAGTGCTTGCTGTACTCCCCACCATGCTGTCTGGTAGCCGCCCCTGCTCCCCGCCACTCTCACCATCTCCTAAGGTGGTCCCGCAACCCCACTTGACACTAGGGGCCACAGCCTGAGCTGATATACACCAAAATATCCGTCCTCTCCCATGGCAGTAGGCTCATGCACACCACCTGAGAATCAGGTTTCTCTTAACCTGAGATAATACTGAAGTAGAAAGTGATTCAGTTTAACCACACACCTCGGTGGCCCTCCTGATCCCCAGCTGGCCCAGTTTCTCACCTCTTTGATATAATGTTTCCCGGAGACTTGCAAAAGGGCCATTTTTCAGCTGAGATGCCTGGCAAAGCAGAGGCTTTATTTGGACATTTTTAAATCGTTGACCCCTTTGGCGCTCTTCTAAAAATATCAGACTATTTTAGTTACAGACGGAAAAGGCCAATGGCATGAAAACACCCAGGACTGTCTCGCTGCCAGGGGCTAGACAGTTCCAGAGAGCTTCAAACCAAGTCCCAAACAGAAGGCAAGAAACTCCAATCATCATCAGTGCTGCACTGAATTGACTATGAAATAAATCTTATGGGTTAAAATAAATAAATCTAATTTATTTATTAAATAAATCTGACTCTGTCTTAACTATGGGGAAGGGCAAATGCCAACTCCTGCCTGAGGGCTGGCCTAATCCAATCTGTCGACAGGCTGCAGTGGACTGGAATCGCCCCAAATCAGACAGAATTCACCTCTACCGTTGCTGCACTACTTTATCTCTACTGTCCCAACGCTGCGGAGAGCATTCAAATCCTTGGATGGTTAGTTTCAGAAAAGATATTTAGTGCCATCTCGTGGGAAAGAAGGGCAGTGCCATAGGAAATGAAATGCAAGTCCAGTTCAGTGCACACACCCAGACGTCCTTGCATCCTTTCATTCTCACCTTCCTCCCATGCTTTCACCCCTCTCTGTTTCTGCAGCACACCCAGCCCCTCCGTCATGCCAGCAACTATACACCCTTCACCCCTTCCTGCCACCCTGCATGCACCGTTCTGGCTTGGAAGGGAAGAGTAGTGCTCTCCCTCCCTTGCTCCTCTTTCCCCAACCGTGGAGCAGGTAAAGCGGTGCTACTCAGCTCCTGCTGCTCTCATGCAATAGTTTGAAGAGTGAGGTTCGACACAGCCTTCGAGCTGCGGGGGCTGAAAGCCCAACTGGTGTCAGGATGGACCTTGAACGGTTTGTGGAAGGGATAATCTGAGGTCACCGTCCATGAGAGCAGAGACTGCAGCTGATGGCTTCAGTGGAAGTCCCCTTTGTTTTGGGATGTAATGCAGGAATTCATGAACACCTCACCTGGTGGATCCCAAAATTGGAGGCAGTTACAAAACCGGTCTCAACAAGGAGAGCAAAAAAGTCTTTTTCATTCTTCTTCCCCCCCCAAAAAAAATTAAAAAAAAAAAGCAATAGGACTCTGCCTGCTGATGCCTCCAATTTGAAGGATTCCTGAGGTCAGCAATATTTGGAGAATACTTCGAAGATGGAAAGGCCTCGGTCAGTCCCATGTACTGAAATCTGTGAGACTGCACGGATGTAGCTGAGGGCAGGTTTGGGACTGGAAAGGACGATCGTGACGGGAAGCGCATAACCCCCAAAACGTGACATCACACCTAATAACGGCAACACATGAGGAATGACATGGTCCCATCCCCACCCTGGCCTGCAGCAGTGACAGTAGCTGGGGATTCAGGCTGCAAGGAAAAATCTTGCTGTCAGTTTGGTTAACGAGGTAATGACAGGGGAGGGAAGCTCATTATGTACAAGCAGAGCTTGAAAGTGCTGCTGTGCTCCTGCCAAAGGATTTCCAGGCTTTTCAAAATGCCAGGGCTGTCAATGCCTTTCTTTTTATACAAAACTAGGATTTGCCGCAGTCTTTGCTGTATTCAGATCTCTATGCAAATTTCTGCAGATTGTGAGCTGGCGAATGACAGCCCTTGGGGGAAGCCACCCTCGCCATCCGGGCATCACAGCCAGGCTTTTTCCAACTGCTTAAATTACTTTAATTGGCTCCTGAGGGTACTAGCAGGGCAAGGGATACACATTATAAACCGATGGGGACAGCAGGGCCAAACCCTGCAGTCCTTAGGCAAAATTCCCGTGGAGGTTTCCAGGCGAAAGGACTAAATATGAGGAAAGGAGAAGGGGCAGCTTATTGGTAAGGTAACTGGAAGAGGAGGAAGAGGGGAACTGAAAAGGGCAGTTTAAGGAGAGACTGAGAGGAGGAAAGGGGGTGGGGAGGAGCGTGCAGCAGTGAAAGAGTGAGAGGTGTCGTCCCAAATGCGAGGGGAGCGTGGATAAGGCATGAAGTCAACGGGGAGAGGAAAAGAGAGGTCCACTGGAGCCTTGTGTGATTATGGCACGCTGGTCTCCGTGGCCAGCATTGCCTCTGGCCTCCTTTTCTCCCCAGCCTAATGACCAGGTGCCCAGGGCCATGTGAAGGGCCTTGGAGACCCTGGAGGTGTTGCTGGGGGGCCTTTGCATATTTAATCATTTGACCGCCGTGGCGGCGACCCTGCTCAATCATGCCTGCAGGCAAGTTTGCGGTATTTCAGCTCGGGCACATCCACGTGCTCCTGCTTGGCCAGGCTCTTTGCTTTGCACCCTGCACGGGAGAACATTACACATGCCTTGTCTCAGCACCGGCTCATGTGTGTTGGGGCCCAGGGCCTGGTCTTGTGCTTATGCCTTACAACAGCACTGCAGACGCCCGCTTACATCCAAGGTGGCTTTCAGCTCGAATGAATCTGGAGCCAGCCTCCAATTCACACCTCTGGAGCTGTGGAAAGACGCCTTAGTCACTCGTCCCAAGGCAGCTAACGCCATGGACCAAGGAACTAAAGAGCAAGAGGAGCGAGATGGGTGTGAGGAGCTATGATTCAGGATGTGGCAATGTCGCACGTGCCCTCGCTGCACTGGTGTAAATCAGACACTACATATTTATAGGAACAAATGCCCTGTCTGTGTTTCTAGGCATAGGAAATAAAAAAAGAGCACTTAAAACCTAATCGACAAGCACCGCGTGCTGTTTGGTTTTTGTCGTTAAAAGGAACTTTATCCAACGTCACTTCGGTTTCAATTTCAGGCTCGCATGCATTTCAGGTGCACTGACACAGAAGGTTTATTTGCTTTAAATAGTTTTTCCTTTGTAATGAGAAAAAGGAAAAAAAGTTACAAGAACATGTCTACCGATATAAAACATTGTTAAATCTCCGTTCTGCAGTGTAAGCTTGCGGCGGCATTTCACCTGACTGTGTCCCTGAATGGTTCTGAATTTAAACCATGTGTTTTAATTTGAGAACTAAGAGATGCTACAAAAGATCATTCTCCTTAACACGTCCCAGAAATCAGTGCCTGCTCCTTTTCTCCTTCTGTCCTCTCTAAAAGCCATCAAACTTGCTGCAGTTAGCCACCTATCTCTATTTTAGGAACTAATCCTGCTTCCACTGCACAGAAGACTGCTGCGGTTTACTTCAATGGGAGCAGGATCTGGCCCTTCGCTGGGTCTCTGATAAAAAATAAGCTCTGCTAACGTACTTCGTGACAGTTTGCCTCACATATTCATGCTTTAGTCATGGGATCGGTTGGTGCTGCCGCTGGCAGATCAGGCTCCTTTCTGACAATGCAATTACAAATAATTATAGGGAGAAACTGCAGATAAAATAGAAAGGGACAGCAATGCTCTCTTCTAAGGACACATTTATTTATTAATCCGTCAGCAATGTCAGGAGCAGGACTTTGCTAAGGGCCCCTATTCTAATGTGTGCCCGCTTTTGCCTAAGAATAGCA